TTGGGGCTGCTGCTCGGCGCCCGGCAGGGCCTTGTCCGCAGCGGGGCGGCGGGACCCACGAGCTTCTGTTGTGGTCAAGGCCTGTAAGAGCAGCCTTTTGCCCCGGCCTCCCCCGCGGACTTGCCTGGGGTACGGTTAGCTGCAAAGGGATCGGCATTGCCGCTGGCAGGATAACGATTCAGGTATTCATCGCTGCAAGTTGCTCTTCGCTGAGGCACTTAACAGAGATGCGGACCACCAGCGCGTTTACCGAGCAGGCCAGAGCTTGGGGCTGGCATTGCTGTGCAGGCCTAGCAGCGAAGTGCGTAACGTGTATGAGGAGCACGCTGTAAGGATGAGAGAATCGCGGTCATTTACTTCTTTCCCTTCTTCCTGTCTTTGCTCGTGGAGAGCCGGGAGGAGCTCCTTCTCCCTTGTGTTATCTTGAGTATTTATTTACTGCTGAAAGTCTTAAGATGCAAAGGGCCTGATTCTGCAGGCCCATTCACGAAGGAAGACGGGAATTGCATTGCCTGTAGGTAGGATCAGAGCCCTCTTCTTCAAAAGGTGAAATAAGATGTGCTGCAGGAGCAGGTAGGATTGCCCCTCTCTTCATGGTGGTGATGCACCGCAACCAAAACTGGTCCAGGTCACGTAGGGTGGTGATCGCACTGCCCCATGGCGCTCCCAGGTGAGCAGGAGGAGGAGGATCGCACATAGGTTCAGAGACTTGAAGGCCAGGATGGGCCGTCTAGCCTGACCTGCAAGACTTGGAACCCCTCCTTCAGTTACTTCTGAATCAAGCCCAGTTTCAGAGTGGGGCACATATCTCTTAGCAAGGCATCAAGTCTTGATTTAAAATCTTCAGCGCCACATCCAGCAATGGCTCATTACAGTGGTTTTGTGAAGCAGGATTACCTACACTGTTAAAACTCTACATCTTTATTTCTAGTCTGAGTTATTCTAGTTCAGGGGCGGGCAGTTATTTTGGGCAGAGGGCCGCTTACTGAGTTTTGGCAAGCAGTCGAGGGCTGCATGATGGACAGCTTTGGGCAGATAAATATTAATTTTCTAAAATTTTTAGGCGCCCCATGGGCCGGATAGAATGGCCTAGTGGGCCGCATCCAGGCCACATTTTGCCCACCCCTGTTCTAATTGCAGCTTCCAGCCACAGGCTCTCGGGTCTTTTTCTAGTGGCTTAGTTGGAGCCATCTGTAAACTGCGCTGAAGTTTCCATGTGGACCCGTCCTTCCTTTGGAGGAACTGAATAAATTAAACTTCTTAATCTTTTTGTTTTCAGGCACGTTCCAAAGGCCTCAGGTCATTCTTGCAGCTCTTCATTGGGCCCTGCTCATATTTTTTTTTGGCTTTCCCTTTGAAAAGTGGACATCAGAACTAGGCCCATTATTTCAGCAGTGGTTTCCCTAATGCCATGAGAGAGGTGGTGCCTCCCTACTTTTGCTTGCATGTACAACTGAGTTGTGTGTTAGTTGCCTTCACTACAGAATTGTAGGGAGCTTCTGTTTTACTGCAGGTCTGCCATAACCTGAGTCTCTTTGCTGTATTTTGGGTGTTATCCCTGGTCTTCTGAAGTGTGGGATTCAGAAGTTTTACAGTGACTAGATCTAGCCAAGGGCACTGCAAGTTCAGCACAGTACAGCATGCTGTATTACAGGACAATCTCTTTTTGACTCCACTGCACCTTGATTAATTGCTGTTTCACACTCTCAGAAATAAATTCAAAATGCTGTAATTTTAAAACTAGGAACTGATCAAGCAGTTTCTCCTTTAAGATGGGGAGAAAAAAAGGCAGAGGGCCATCTCTTGGGAAAATCTCTGGCGCTGCTGGGGATGCATCACACAGTTTGGTGGTTTCTGTGCTGGCCTTCTCTCCACTGCCTGGGTTAAGCAGAAATGCTCTGAGGAGAGAAGGGTGATCTCAGGTTGTCTCTTAAAACCTTTTTAAGATGTCAGTGCATGTGGCACAAACCAGGCATCTACTTGTATGCCAGGGGCAGTGTCGTGGCCAGGAGCAGACTTGTGCTGAAATCAGCCCAGACTTGTTCTGTAGTAGTGCTCTCTGATCCCAGTTCCAAACCTGCAGTTTCCTGCAGAAGGTGGTGTGAGAACTGTGCTGCACTGGTGAGAGCATGTGGTCAGGGAGCTTCATTAGTCTCCCCTGCAGCATGCATGTGCCACTCAGCCAGAGGTTCTAACCTCAGTTTTGTTCCCCTCCAGGTCTGTTCACCCTGTTGGTAGAAGATTTTGGTGAGTATAAGAGCTTTTCTGCAATGTTTGTTTCATCCTTGATGCTGCCTCTGGCTCCCGCCTGTCAGTCTAATACTGTTCTCTGCTCTTTCTCTTTCAAGGGGTTAAAGGGGTGCAAGTTGAGGAGATCTATGATCTACAGAGCAAATGCCAGGGGTAAGTTATCAACTAAGCAGCGTGACTTCCTGCAGCAGGGTTCATCAGGAGGGGAAAATCTTAGTCAGTGGGTCTCTCCTTAAGCAGTTCTGCGTTGAGAGTGTATTGGACATTTAAAGACATCTATATTAGCAACACCTAACGGAAGTGATTGGAAAAGGTACTTCATCAGACTGCAGGAGTAGGATATGTGATCGACCCTCTCACTTGCCTTGGAGGAAGAGCAAGGAGCTAAGCCATGGCAGTGCTGCAGGCTGGAGCTCCAGGCTGGTACTAGAATGGGAGAATTGGTAGCGAGAGAACCTGTGGGGTCTCAGGGATGTACTTCAGGGTTTTCCTGTCTTTGCATCAGCCCCACTGGCAGATGCAATTACAGATCTCTGTATAGTCACTAGTGAGGTTTTTCCACAGTGCTTAGAAATGACCCTGGTGAAGAACCTTCCAATCAAAACCAGTTCCTGACTCTGCTTAAAAAACTTTTGCCCTGTAATTATACTGTAGTGGGAAATAGTGGGGCATATAGTGACTAGCATACTGGAGTATGAGACAGTGAGAGGCACCCACTGGAGCATGTGGTTGCCCTGCTCTCTCATGCCGTCTTCTATCGCATAACTTTATTAAATCTGTTAAAAGGTTATGGGTTTGGCACTGTCTCGGTTACCTGTCTTGTGCATATGGGGGGTAGGGGTATGGAAATCAGCTGAAATGAATTGTCTTTGCCAAGAGTCAGAGGCAGCAGTAAGCACTCTGGGTTTGGCCTGACCTCTTGTCTTCCCTCCTATTGTGGAAGAAGGCCTCTGGCATTAACTGACTGGAATAGCCCAGTCCAGGTTAGTGGGAACTTTTCCAGCCTGAGGCAGTTGCTGACCTGGCTCACGCTGTTTGTTTTTAACCCGCCAGCCCTGTTTATGGGTTCATTTTCCTCTTCAAATGGATTGAAGAGCGCCGGTCTCGCCGGAAGGTTTCCACCCTAGTAGACGAGACATCAGTGATCGATGATGACATTGTCAATAATATGTTCTTTGCCCACCAGGTAAGCTGGGTGGGACCTAATGTGAAGAGCTGTCTGTGGTGCTGCTGAGGAGAGTGGCCAGATGGGGTGGGTTCATGTGTTGGAATCTCTTCAACAATCCAGAATATGCAAAATTGGGAAGGAAGTTACTGGCTGGGCAGCTGTTCACTCAGATGAGAAGGCACAGTATTATACATTTGCCTTGGGGGAGGTTGTATGCTTAGCCTCTCAGATCTGGACTGTGGGACCACACCTGGGGGTGGTCTTTGCACATGAGTGACAAACAAGCATATTGTGGGACTTAATGAATCTGAGAAGGCAGCTGGCTAGCCAGAGAGAGAGAGAGAAGGCAGCTGGAAATGGGAGACAGGACCATGAAAAGAGAGGTGTGGGTGTCACCGGGAGACAGGACCATGAAAAGAGAGGTGTGGGTGTCACCGCTGCCACATCTGTAAGTAGAAAGGGTACAGGAGAGAGTGCAACTCATGGGCATGTCTGTCAGACTTGCTTAAGTTAGCGTGTCCTTTGGAGCATGGACTGCTGTGCTGTGTGCACAGGGCATGGAACCTACCCTGGAGAAGGGGCCCAGTGCTTTGTCCGTGGGGTGCTTTTTCTGAGGGCTGGCCTAGGTGCTTGTGCCGAGGTAGAGCTGGGGTGGTATCTGGGCACTTTGAGGAAGGAACCCTTTGGGGATGACTCCTGCCCAAAACATCAGGAAGCTTTGTTCTCCTGTGATGTGATGTGTTCCTACAGTGCAGCTGTGGTTTAGCAGCTTCTGTGGTGTTTTTCACTCTGGGACTAGGCAAGAGTCAACAGAACCCATGACCCAAGCACATGAACAAGCTATCGTGAGGTAAATGAGGGTGAGGATTTATAGCATGTCTGCTACTCAGAGGTGACTGCTCATGTGCATGCTCTTACATGGTGGTAAAAGAAAGCTGATCTCTGATAGCTTGGTGCTCTTAAGGGGATAACAGCCTACACATGGGCAGTTACAGCTTAGTAGCTGACACCTTGTAAAACCCCACCTGAATTTCATCTCCTGGCCACTTGTCCCCACACTCCCTCTCCCCTCTCACCAGAGATCTGATACGCCATCTCTCCTGCACCAGCCGTGGACTGCTGTGAACAGCTCTCCTGCACTTGCTCAGTACGGTTCACAGGAAGGCACTAACTACATGCACCCAAACAGCAATTCTGTTTTTTCTGTGCTGGTTTCTATTGGCTGTT